TCTTTTTTGCAAGCTGCTGTCATTCTACGCATGCCAACCCAGACTCTGCAAAGGAAGGAAAGCAAGCTCAAGGTCACACAACTAATTACAGGAGTTAAATAAAAAAAAAAGTGAGAGAAACCCTAAAAGTGGCACTATGCACCCTGTGCATGACTACTGACAAACCCAGAGGGTGATAGTGAACTTCATGCACACCAGTGAATTAATGACTGTGAGGTCATTTCACTGAGTGGAGTTTACATCCATTAGCTGGGACGGTGAAGGCATGTGTGTTTTTGTGTTGTTGATTTATCAGCAGCCATTGATCTGGCAGGGAAAACCTCTTCGGTTCAGTGAACCAGGGAGTTAAAAGAAGACAAATGCATTTCCAGCCTAATTAGTAACCAATGGAAATCCACTGAATGTATCTCAGAGATGTTCCCTAAAAATAGCAATCCATCTGCGAGACATGCAGCCCTTGAGGCAGATGTTTGAAGACCGAGCGAAACCCGAGGAAACCCAGATATTCTTTGGAGGTTTAAGCAGGAGTGTAGCAGTATCTGTGATTTAAAAAAGAACTGATCTATCTTTGTAATAGCTTTATTCACACTTCTTCACCTCATATTGCATGGCTGTTTTAACCTTTTCTTTTTAGAAGCAATATCTTCACCTCCTCTCCATGCAGCTTTCTATACGGCCTCCTCCTTCCATCCAGCTCAGGAAAGGAGGCGATCTGTCTTGCCATTAATGTCACAAGAAATAATCAGAGAGTAGACATCAACACCCCAGAGCCCTCCAGGACTAGGAGTCCGATGACATTAGTCTCATAGAGTTAGAAGATAATAACAGGGAACAAAGAGCAACCCTCCTTAGATCTCTGTACCGCTCATCTCAGACCCTTCAATAATCCATGGGGGACTTCAACACTGCCACTGAAATTGCTCTTGAACTTGTGTGCTTCACTATTCCTATTCCTATTCTAACCAAAACCTACCAAGTACTCCCGTTTCTTCTGGGTTTACTAAAACAAAACAAAAAGCAGTGCTCCCACAGAATGAATTTCAACCTCCTCACCCAGCATGTCTAAGAGCTTTGTGCACTTTGTCTTTGAGAGAAAGAGGAGAAAATAGGTAATAGTTCACATTATAATAATTGCACTGTAGTTGCTATCCTTGGGGAGAAAATATACAGTGAAATTACTCAAGCATATTTAAAAAGGAGGCGCAGTTACAATGTAAGAAAACCAGTGGAGCGTAATGATCTACTAAACTCCTCTGATAACATTTGGAACAGTTTTATCTTTGGCTTTGCTTGATAATTGGCCACTCAGCTTGTGGGATGCCCCATTCTATGAGGATCATGTACATTATTGAAGATGAGATTAAATTTAATGAAGTCATGCCTATAAAACTGTGCCTCCTTACAATGATAGTCCTTTGGAGTGGACTTAATCCTATAGACCAGGGGTCACCATGCTGTTTGAGACTGAGAGCTATTTCAGGGGTACTGAGAAGGGCTACTTGTTGGATAGAAACATAAATTTGCATGGCTCACCTTTAATTATAGTATTACCGTACTAATAATAAATGTACCTATATGTGAATTAATGATTGCCTGATTACATCTTAATATTATGGACTCCTAACAATAATTGAGTGATTTACCATGGTGGATACGTTAAATAATTATAGATAATTAGGACCCTCTATCTGTGCAGCAGAGCTAATCTCTGAAACCCTGCTGTCGTCCCTGCGGGCGACCGGTCAACATATTGGTGACCCCTGCTGTAAACTGAGCCGTAGCAGTGAAATACATCTTACCTGTGCTCTGGGCTGTTATTAGGCACAAAAAAAGTTAGGCTTCTTTTGATTGTGACCAAGATGCTATACCTAAAAAGGCAGTGAATGGTCCGTGTTAAAATCCTGTTAACTAATTGAAGCTTCCAGCTGTGTGAAATTATGCTTTCAACCAACTGATTGGTGAACAAAAACACAGCCAAATTACAATCTTTGGTGGCTTTTAAATGCACTTTTACCACAAAAATGCCAATACCATGAAAGTTCCTTTCCCCAAATTTATCATGAGACTCTAAAGCAGAGGTGTCCAATCCTGGTCCTCGAGGGCCACGATCCTGTATGTGTTACTTGTTTTCCTTCACAACACAACTTATTCATTGGATGAATTGCCTCCTTATGTTCTGGAGAAGCCTGTTAATCACCCATTGATTCAAATTAGAAGTGTTGGAGCAGAGAAGCGTCTAAAACATGCAGGACAGTGGCCCTGGAGGACCAGGATTGGACACCCCTGCTCTGGAGGAACCTTGAAGTCAAGGGAAATAAAAAGGTCATACCACATTAGGCTCACACTTACAGTCCTGCTCCTTCTCTAACGGACTTTAGGCCTCCTAATTCGGTTGTGCCAGCTGCAACATGCCCCAGCACCCTCCTCTTCTCCCTCCACTTGCAGCATGGGCTTTTGAGCTAATTTGAAATCCAGGAGACAAAGGTTTCTTTCAGGCCTTACGAGCTGATCTGGTCTCAGTGCCAGCCTCGGTGCCCGGGCTTTGTCCGTTTGCTCACACGCCAAGCACCCAATAATGTGCCATTAGAGGGGAGCCATTATACTCAATACACGGGACAATTTACACTCGAGACCATTTTATATGACCAATTAGAGCAGTGTGAGGCTCACTGCAGTGGAGCAGGGTCTTCATAAAGGGAACAACGGTGGCAAAATGGTCAACGTGTAGGCCACCAGTGAGACAGCCAATAAATCAGAGTTGTACTGTATTCAAGATCTCAGAATAATGAAAAAAATCAAAATAAATAGCTTCAAGTGGTGGATTTAGGAGACGCAACGCAGCTGTAGAAAACTACAACGTTCAAGCTGAAACTTTATTACCTGGTAGCCTGTTTTACAACATGAAGCACATGCTCCGTTTTTAAAACATGTCTGGTTAAGTGCATCTGGCTTCCATAATACTCAGCTCACATAGATGAGCAGCAGCTGACCTCATTATGGGGGTATTTAGAGGTTTGTCCAAACTTGGTCATGCCATTTTTAAGTCTTTCTCTAATCTTAGCACTGCTGACATCTGCTTCAAACAGTGACTCCCAAAAAAAAAAAAAAAAAACAGCACAGAGCATCTGGATGGGGTTTAAGGAGAGTATATTTCTTAAAATCGTCACCTATTAACACCCCTATTAAGGTCTTGACCTACAAAACAGTAGACTCAGCTAAATCTGCTGTGCACTAACAAGGAAGACGGGTTTAATATTCTTATAGCAAGATGATTAAATAGGAACAAAAAAAGATACAATTACCGTAATGCCATGCAGAAGTGTGTATAAGAGGAGGCACCTATTCAACATCCCTGCTGACACAGTGCAACATAAATAAAAAACTGCAGCATGAGAAGTCTATTTCTTTGCCTATACTTTGCGCTGTGTTCATGTCCCTTCTAATGAGGTTAATGAAGTGCGGACAGATGCAAATACAACCAGTGAAGAGGTCAGACATTGTCCAAAGTAGGCCACAAATAACAACACTATGTGTTACATTTAAAGAAGCATGCAGGAATGTGGGCTTGGATTGACCAAAACAGCTTGCTGAGCCTTGGACAAACACTAAAGGGTTTGTTTTACCCAAGGTGGAGGTTTGCTTAAATTATTGTCTTGTCTCAAACGCTAGTGCTGAAGCAACAAGTTGAGCACTTCTTATACGCAGCAGTTTCAACAAATTTAAGATGATAATTGAATATTTATTCATGTGGAACTCTGCAATCGTTTGCAGAAGAAAATAATGATAATATTAACAATAATGATTGTTTTAGTATCTTTCTGGCTGCTGGCTCCACCCCAAGAAGACAAGAGGGGTGGAGTCCACATTAGCCCTGAAGGAAAGGTGTTTCTACAGTCATTAGTGTGGAATTACCCTCGTCTTTGCATGACGAAGACTGAGGAGTTTGTGGCTTTGAAATCACACCCTGAATGTTTTCGCTTCGAACAGAAACAGTGTGAGATGCGAATGTCCATGCAGTAAGTGTGTACAGCTCTACATCTGGGCTCAAATGTGTGTGGCTTTAGATTAATTAGTGACGAATGTTCGACTGTCGTTTGCAACCTTGAATTAAAAAAGTACCAGTCGAGAACATGATTAAATACACTTGATTCTCAAACGCCACAAGAAAACATGAACAAACAGAAATGTAAACCTTACATTACAAAGTCAATTCAATTCAGTTTATTTATATAGCGCCAATTCACAACAAAGTTGTCTCAGGGCACCATACAGGAACATGCACATTCATAAAAAAGCCAATTAGTAAAGTTCTCTAATGCAAGGAAGCCAGCTGACTTGTTGAATCTTCACTTCGTCACAGTCTCCCCTCCTGAGCAAGCACATTGGCAACAGTGGAAAGGAAGAACTCCCTTTTAACAGGAAGAAACCTCCAGCAGAACCAGGCTCAGGACAAGCAGCCATCTGCTTTGACCGGCTGGTTGAGAGGACATTTTCACAATTCTGAAAAGTACTTTAAAACAACACATTCTGATGAATACCCACTCTTTTTATATTGGCAGCTAAACCTTATACCTTCCATCCATCCACCATCTTTACCCACTTCTCCTTTTCAGGTTGTAGGAGTCACTGGTGCCCATGTCCAGTATGAGAGGACAGGTCTCCAGTCCATCACAGAGACACATAGAGACAAACGAGACAAACAACCATTCACTTTCTCTCACACCTAGAGACAATTTAGAGTTACCAATCAGCCTAACATAAATGTTTTTGGTCTGTGGGAGGAAACTAGAGCACCCGGAGAAAACCCACGCATGCACGGAAAGAACATGCAAACTCCACCCAGAAAGGTTCCAGGCTGGGATTTGAACCAGCGACCTTCTCGCTGAGAGGCAACAGCTCTACCAACTAAGCCACTGTGCCACCCCCTTCAATAAATCAAATTTAAAAAAATGAAAGGACCAGAAAAGTGGTGAGATACCTACTGTGCGTCTCCTTCTTACCTCGTTCATGTCTTGGGAGACGGCAACAAGGTGCTCATTCTCAGACTGGGTGTTGTCGAGGATGTTTCGTGTCTGCCGGAGCTCGTTCTGCAACTCCAGGACTCTCTGCTCGTAGTAGGCTTCCTTACAGGCCGACTCCTGGATCAGAGACTCTTCGCGACTCTCCCCATCTGCTGCCACCTTCCTGTGGTTGGTATACGCTTGTCCAAAGGCCTGGGGGGGGGAGAGAGGAAATTCTGGTTAGAAGTAAAATTATAAGCAATACTTGATCCTTAACATTTAGTGATCAAATCGAGATCCAGCTTGAAGTACAAGCAGGATTCTGTAGCATTTTCTTGTGATTCAGACATTTTAAAGTGACACTAATCTCTGCTTCAGTGCTTCATTTGAGGACCAGAAATGTGAACCTCACAAAACCTTTCTGCCGCTCTGCAGAGACGATCAGTTCTGGTCCATCTGGGATGCATCAGCGTGCCTCACCCCATACCCTCACCCCATACCCACCCCCCTCTCCCTCCTCTTGCTGCAGGATGTTGGCCTCCTCTGCAGCACGTGCTCTGCAGCGACTCCACAGATGGAAAAGCCAAACAGGAAATGGACTCCCGTCCAAGCGATCGTGCGAGACCTGTTTTCTAATGCTCTTAATACTACTTCGATCATATCCGGGGACGGTGACAAGATCAGACGAGGAGACGATCGTCGTTAAACGGCATCATGCAGTTTGAGTGTGAAATATGGAAGACGTTTTATTGCTGTTGATCCGTCCTTAGTTTAGCTCCTAACGTGCTCTTAGCCTGCAAGGCAGATACAACAAAACCCTGGCAGAGGCTGACCTTCATAAGACAGCAGAAACTGGGTTAGACAACACTCTCCTCACTCAAACTAATCACCATCCTGATTACAGATTTCATTTTCAGTCCTGGAACCGCTGGTGTTCAGATGGATATCCTGACTCTTATCTTGCTTAATAGCTTGTGCATGCAGGCAATAATCTGAAATCACCTGAGGCACCCAATCTGACCTTGTTTGCAGCCTGCACTCTCCTTTCTCTCTGACCGGCTACCCCAAATACATCACACGTGCCTGGCTGCTGCAGGATTTTCTCCATTTGACTGAGTATCCTGTTAATCCCGATAATTCCTTCTAAGAGAGGGGTGGGGAAATAATTTATATTTGTATAAGTCCCACTGACCTACTTTTACAACTTGGAGGAATACGACTGTTTTGACTGTTTGGACAAGGAGTGCAATGAATCAGGAAATTAATACCATGAGCACGGTGGAGAATACATTTCACATTCTGGTGAAGTTAATAACACAAATAAGAACAGATTAAATCTGACTGAGAGGCACATATGTTTTTATCTGTAAGCATCGCTCTTAAAGTTGGCGCCATCTGCTCACACACTAAAATCATATCATCCGTCTGCAGGGGCCACTTTTTACAGAGTGGATTCATGGGCCCACAAACTGGTGTCACAACTTCTGGTTTTAACATGTCACCGTGCTTTTACACTTGAAGCTGGTGAACGTTTTCATTCAGTTAGCCAAACACACACATACGTATGCAGCTAGAGCTGAAAACTAAACGATCGTTCAGTCGAATAAATAGAAAGAAAATACATGAAGCTTGATTCAACTTTTATTAATTAAGTTACTTTATTGCAGGTAAACTTTGCAAATTTAGTGCTTCAGCCTGAAGGATGTTTTGCTGTGATTTGTCTTATGTGACATCAGACAAAACGTTTTTAAAGTGGTAGTTCAGCTTTTTTTTAAATGGTGCTCCGAGGAAAATTTGACACAGAGGTTAGAGAAGGTGGGCATGTGATCAGAAGATCGCCAGTTCAACTCCCCAGTCCAACAACATCAAAATGTGGGTGAGAAAGATGAAGCATCCACACCTGCCTCCAACCTCATTTGCTCCACTCTGGGCCTTGAGGAAAGACCTTAACCCCCACCATCTGCTTCCCCGGGCACCCTGGACAGCAGCTCTCTGCTCCACACAGAGGGCCGTGGTAGCTCGGTGGTCTGTGGTTACGTCAGGAAGGGCATCTGGCATAAAAAAAATAATTGCCAAGTCTTTGTGTGATTCAGTTTACTGTGGTGACCCCTGAAGAAAGGAGCAGCTGAAACAAAAAAAAAAATGAGTTACCTGTTGTGGATGGCTCTTTTAGCAACCTCTGTTTGGAAGAATAGAGTTTGATTCAGGCCAGATTGATGAGATAATGGCTAATTCAATTAAACTCGATTCAACCTTTATTTATACAGGTTAGTCCCACTGAGCCTCGAGGACTCATTTACAAGAGAGACCTGATTTAACAAAGAACGATGACAACAGCAGACAATCATAAAAAAACATATAAAATGAAAAGCAAATGGAATATATATA